GTAGTCTTGGTCTGTCTTCCCAAGCCTATCAGGTTGGTTAAATAAGGGCCATTTTTCTGGGCATTAGGCTTTGAAGAAGGTGACAGTGTTTTTTCCAGTGGCTCCTGAGCTGCTAGGTTTCTCCTGTTGATTGTGGGCTACTGCCTTTTCTTTTTTGTTGTTTCTAATCATTTTATTAGGGGCTCATACAACTCTTATCACAATCCATCCATCCATCCATTGTGTAAAGCACATTTGTGCATTCATTGCCCTCATCATTCTCAAAACATTTGCTCTCCACTTACACCCCTGGCATCAGGTCCTCATTTTCCCCCCTCCCTCGCTGCTCCCACCTCCCCCGTGAACCCTTGAGCCTTTATAAATTATGATTTTGTCATGTCTGGGCGACTGCTTTTCAAGACTACCAAGGAGATGGATTGACAGAGAGGCTACAAGGTTGGGCTCTACAAAACCGCCTTGTGAGGCTGGTGCAGGACCAGGCAGTGTTTCCTCCTGTCGCTGGGGGTCAGAATGATCCTGACAGAATCTAAAAGCAAGCATAACAACAGTGGCCATGGCGAGGATCCCTGGGGGCGGAGTGGATTCTGCAATGGGCTGATGAAAGGGCAGCAGTTCAAAACCACCAGCCACTCCGGTGAGAAAGATAAAGTTCTCCTACTTCCACAGCCTCCAAAGCCCACAGGGACCTTTGTCCTCACAAGGTCACTGTGAGTTGGAGTTGACTCCATGGCAGCAAGTTCCGTTTCACAGTGAGGGGAGGGGGCAAGTTAAGATGCCACCAACGTGCTGTTTTTAACAAGGTCCAGCCACGTTTCCTAAATAAAGTCTCCTCAGATTGCTGTACGCTCAAAGTTCAAACAGCTGATTCTGACAAGTTTTTTTTTAAGCTCTTTTGAGGGGAGAGAGAATTTTCAGAGGTCTTTATTCCCCAGTTTTCCATCAAGGTGGATTTTCACAAGTCACTCTCTAGACGGCAAATCTCTGTGAGCCCGCAATGAACTCCTTTGTTTCCTTTCATCGCACACATATTCCTGCTGCGCCAGCAGCAGTGTTTCATTGTGCAGGGTAATCTGGAACCACGCATGTGCTCCCTAGTGAGAGCTCGCGGATAATCGTGTGCATTTTTGTTTGTTTGCATGTATGTGTGTGTGTTTTCCAATTTAGGATTCTGGCCCTTCAGGAAAACTTCCTTCTCCAATTTAAGATGGATGTAAGTATTGGCATGGCTCTAAGTGGGATTCTGCCATTTGTAGGTCTCTAAAGATTTGAGCGGGAAAGAATGGGTAGCACTCTTTTTTTTTTTTTGCTTAGTTTAATATATACCTTGAGATGGATAAGACTCTGGGTGGATTTAAGGGATTCAAGGTTATCGACTCCACAAGAATAGAAGTTGCTCCAGCACCTGGGAATTGTACACCCGGTGTTCATCTTGCGGGCTGACGTGGTGCTTTCTCCATTCCCAGGCCTGTTCCACTGAGGAAAGAAAGAGGGATTTTGAGAAAATCTTTGCCCACTATGATGTTGTAAGTATGCTTCTTTGTTCTGTGCTGGCCCCCCGCTAGGCAGAAAGTGTGTGCGATCCCTGCGTGTGTGGTCATGGTCATGCGACAGATATGAGGAAGAGCCACCAGAGTCTCTCCATCAATTCTGAGGAGTGTGGAGTGTCTAGGGCCGAGAAGACAATGGGCCCACGATGCTTGTTTCAGTCCCTCGGTGCCTTCTTGGCCTCCATCTAAAATGATGCTCCAACACCAAACCCAAACAATGAAAATAAACGACAACAAAGAAACCCCCCCTACC